TTTTCTTTTTTTTTTTTTAAGTTCTGATTTTTAAGTCCCTCTTGGTTAACGTCCACTTACCAATAAAGTGGCACTTCCTCCTTTAGTAGGTAAGATGTGTAAGAGAAGGGAAAAGTGTGGTAGCGTAAGTTCATCATTAGATTCACAAAAATGCAAGAGAGATAGAGAGAGAGAGAGAAAAACTCATCCACCCCATTCTAGGCCAAGAGGAGGCCACACCGCCTCTGGAGGAAGGACTGGCAGTGCCTGGCTCCTCAGGCCTGAGTAGGCACCTCTTGAGTGACCACTGGATAGAGATGTCAAATGTTTTTCCAAAAGTGGAGTTAGGACACAAAGATCTGGATACAGAAAACCTGAAAGGGCACTTGGTACCTTCAAAAAGGCCCTGGCTAGGAACCAGGGTCTGAGAGCCTACCACAATCTCACTGAGTGACCCTGGCCAAGTCACTTTCCCATTCTGGGCCCCAGTTCCCCCATCTACAAAATGAGAGGGTTGGGCTTTGCTTCCTGATGTTCCTTCCAGAGCAAATATTCCAGGATTCTCTGCACACCCCTTGACCGCCCTCTTCATCCTGTTCCCTCCACAGAACTAACCCTCCTCCTGTCCTTGGGCTTCCTTCTGATAACAGTTGATTATATCTGTCCCTGATAATCTCTGTTGATTATAACTGTTTATACCTGTCCCTCACCCCTACCCCACCCCCAATCACCAGCACCAACTTGACTTTGGGCACCTCCAGGGTAGATCTGGCGTTGAATTCAGCTCTGTAACCTCAGTTGTGATCACAGAACTTGGCACCTAGTAGGGCCTCAATGCAATTTACTGAGGAAAGAAGAAATGTCCTTATAAGGGCCAGGGCAAAAACAGGAAGTCTTAGAACAGGAGCAGAGTCTGGGCCAAGTATTCTGGCAGGCTCTTAGGATGAGAGAACAAAACCAGATGCCACCCCTCAGGGCATCTTGCTGCCAGGGATGGGAAGGAGTATGTTGGCATAGCCCTGATGCTTCCTGCAGGAGACAGGATGATGCCAAGGCCTCTCTGTGCAAGCTTGGATCTAGCCTGGGCATTGAGGTAGAGCCAAAAGTTAGCTCCATTGGTGGAAAGGCACAGCCAGCTCATGGCTGGTGGCTGAAGCAGCCAATAAACACCAGCCATAGCGAGTGAGAGAGTAGCTGACCAGAGTCAGATGGGCCATGAAGACCTTCTCCTGGGAGAGCCTGGCATCTCTGTTTGGGGCAGAGTAAGGCATAGGTAGGCAGAGTAGATATTACTGGTACCTAGATATACCTCTGAGTACCCTGACACTAGGCTAGGAGAGATGGAGGCTGGTTTGTTCAGCCCTGGCCCCTCTGTGATGGTAGTTCTGTTCTCAATAGACATTAGCAGGAGACATTGGCTCCCCAACACATATACCCTCCACCCCAGCCAGTACAGCTCCCAAGCCCCCAGCACTAGATTCTGTCATTCAGCATCCTTTTCCTTCCAGAGAAGGCAAATGAAAAAGAAGTCTCCAGGTTCTTCACATTTCCAGTTCCTTTCCTATATCCTGGGTTGTCAAAGAGTGTAAAGTGAACAGATACTAGTTAGGAGAGTGGGGGCCCTGGCAGCCAATGCATAGTAATCCATACCCAAGGAGACAGTGGACCCCACCTTTAAGAAGCCTTTGCTTGTTACTTTGGTGGTGGGAATGGGAGCAGCAAGGCGAGTGGGCAGAATACTAAACTCGGGAATTAGGACCTGGATGTGAATTCTGTTCCAGCCCTGACTCTGGATCTGAGCCTCTACTTCTGCCTCCAGGGAAGAGGCCAGCAGTGTGGGCAGAAGACCAAGGGCCATGATGTTTCTTCCCACAGGCACTGCAGGGCCTTCACTACTTCCTACTGTTGGGCTGGGAGTGGGAGGGAGTGTTAGGAACAGAAAAGGTCTGGGTTGGGCGGATGCCCACCCCCATCACGTTGCTGTCCTCAACCACTGAGATGCAAGTCTCTAGGCCACGTCTCTGTGCTGATCCGGACCCTTCCTGCCTGGCATGTTTTGATGCCCAAGCTCTCCCCATTTTCCTCTCAACTTCTCCAAGTCAACTGGCTGCCGTAGCCCAATATGATAGTAATTGGCAAAGTGAACATGCTGGAATCAGCCCTGATGCAAGTTTGTTG